CTGCACCAAGCAGACTAATAGACATCTACAGAACTCTCCACCCCAAATCAACAGAATATACATTCTTCTCAGCACAACATTGCACTTATTCCAAATAATAGGCATTAGAGACTACAAAAGACGGGAGTGGAGTGAGGGCTGAAAAATTACTTATCGGGTACAATGTTCACTATTAACACTAAATGCCCAGACTTCACCACTACACAACATATGCATAAAGTGAGTGAACTTATAAGTTATCAGTATGCCTGAGGGGTAAGAGAGATCAAAAAGAGACGAAAACCTATTTAAAAGAATAATAAATGAAAACTTCCTAAGTCTAGCAAGAGAGTTAGACATCCAGATACAGAAGGCCCAGTGATCCCCACGCAAATATACAGCAAAAAGGACTCCACCAGAGGATATTATATTCAGAATGTGTTAAGTCAAAGGGAAAGAAAGAATTTTAAAATTAGCAAAAGAAAAGAGTCCAGTCACCTATAAAAGAAACTCATCGATTTCCTCTAGGTTTTGTAGTTTGTGAGCGTATTATTTCATAATAGTCTTAATAGTCGTTGTATTTCTGTTGTATCAACCATAATGTTTAGAACTGGAACAAGACAAGGATGCCTACTTTTACCACACGTATTCAACATAATGCTAGAAGTCCTAGTCAGAGCAATCAGGCAAGGTAAAAAAATACATGGTATCCAAATTATCACTGTTCACTGACAATATAATCTTAAATCTAGAAAACCCTAAAGACTCCACAAAAACTCTTAGATTTGATAAATTAACATAGTAAGATTTCAGGATTCTTTATATAACAAAATGAATATACAGAAATCAGTAGAAAATACACCAGTAACTATGTAGCCAATGACTGAATCAAGAAGGCAATCCCATTAACATTAGCTACAAAAAATAAAATACCTAGCAATATATTTAATCAAGAAGGTAAAAGATCTCTATGAGGAGAACTATAAAACACTGATAAAAGAAATCATAGATGACACAAACAAATGAAAAAGCATCTCATGCTTATGGATTAAAAGGACAGTATCATTAAAATGAACATACTGCCCAAATAAATCTACAGATTCAGTGCAATCTCTATCAAATTACCAGTGCCATTTTTCACATAATTAGAAAGAACAATCCTAAAACTCGTATGGAACCAAAAACAAAAGAACAAAGCTGCAGGCATCATATTACTTAATTTCAATTTTTTTTTTTTTTTTTGGTGACGGAGTCCCGCTCTGTCACCCGGGCTGGAAAGCAGTGGTGCGATTTCAGCTCATTGCAACCTCTGTCTCCTGGGTTCAAGCAATTCTCCTGCCTCAGCCTCCTGAGTAGCTGGGATTACAGGCGCCCGCCACCACGCCAGTTAATTTTTGTATTTTTACTAGAGACAGGGTTTCACCATGTTGGTCAGGCTGGTCTTGAACTCCTGAACTCATGATCTGCCCGCCTCTGCCTCCCAAAGTGCTGGGATTATAGGCGTGAGCCACTGCCCCCAGGACTTTTTTTTTGTTTTTTTTTGAGACAGAGTTTCACTCTTGTTGCCCAGGCTGGAGTACAATGGTGCAATCTCTCGGCTCACCACAACCTCCACCTCCTGGGTTCAAGCGATTCTCTTGCCTCAGCCCCCCGAGTAGCTAGGATTACAGGCATGTGCCACCACGCCCAGCTAATTTTACAAAATCCAGTTTAGTAGAGACAGGATTTCTCCATGTTGGTCAGGGTCTCCAACTCCCACCCTCAGGTGATCCACCCACCTCGGCCTCCCAAAGTGCTGGGACTACAGGCGTGAGCCACCATGCCCAGTCTACTAATTTCAAACTATACTGCAAAGCTATAGTAGCCAAAACAGCATGGTACTGGTATAAAAACAGCACACAGATAAATGTAACAGAATACAGAACCCAGAAACAAAGTCACATTCCTACAACCAACTGATCTTCAGCAAAGTCAATAAAAATATACACTGGGGAAAGGACACCCTATTCAATAAAAATAGTGCTGGGAAAATTGAATAGATGTGCAAAAGAATGAAACTGGACCCATACCTCTCATCATATACAAAAATTAACTCAAGATGGATTAAAGACCTAAACATAAGGCCTGAAACTATAAAAATCCTCGAAGAAAACCTAGGAAAAACCCTTCTGGACATTGGGCCAGGCAAAGAATTTAAGGCCGCATCCTCACACGCAAATACAACAAAAATAGACAAATGAGAATTAACTAACTTAAAAAACTTCTGCACAGCAAAAGACACAATTGAAGTAAAAAGACAACCTACAGAATGGGAGAAAATATTTGCAAACTATGCATCTGACAAAGGGCTAATATCTAGGATCTATGAAAAACTAAGACAACTCGACAAGCAAAAAAAAAAAAACAGGGCAAAGAGCATGAACAGACATTTCTCAAAAGACATACAACCAGCCAATAAACATACGAAAAAATGCTCAACATCACTAATCATCAGAGAAATGCAAATTAAAACCACAATGAGATAACATACCAGTCAGAATGGCTATTACTAAAAAGTCAAAAAACAACATGTTGCAAGTATGTAGAGGAAAGGGAACATGGGAACACGAGAAAAGGGAACAAACAAGTTTGGTGGGAATGTAAATTAGTACAATCATTATGCTACAAACATTTCTCAAAGAACCAAAATAGGAACTACCATTCAATCCAGTAATCCCACTACTGGGTATATAACCAAAGGAAAGAAATCATTATATCAAAAAGATACTTGCACTCATATATTTATCACATTACTATTCACAATAGCAAAGATAGGGAATCAACAAAACCATCTAACAACAGAGGATTTTTAGTAGAGATGGGGTCTCATCGTGTTAGCCAGGATGGTCTCGATCTCCTGACCTCGTGATCCAGCCACCTCGGCCTCCCAAAGCGTTGGGATTACAGGTGTGAGCCACCACGCCCGGCATCAAATAGTACATATTATAACTTGTAAGTTGGGACTAAACAATGGGTCCACATGGACATACAGAGTAGAATAACAGGTACTGGAGACTACAAATGACCGGAGGGGAGTGAGGGTTGAAAAATTACCTATTGGGTACAATGTTCACTATTAACACTAAAAGTCCAGACTTCACCACTACACAACATGTGTATGTAAGAAATATGCACCTGAGGCCGGGCGCAGTGGCTCACGCCTGTAATCCCAGCACTTTCGGAGGCCAAGGCAGGTGGATCACGAGGTCAGGAGATCAAGACCACCCTGGCTAAAACGGTGAGACCCTGTCTCTACTAAAAAAATACAAAAAAATTATCTAGGCATGGTGGCGGGAGCCTTTAGTCCCAGCTACTGGGGAGGCTGAGGCAGGAGAATGGCATGAACCCAGGAGGCAGAGCTTGCAATGAGCCAAGATCGCGCCACTGCACTCCAGCCTGGGTGACAGAGCGAGACTCCATCTCAAAAAAAAAAAAAAAAAAGAGGAGGGGGGAGGGATTGCATTGGGAGTTATACCTAATGTAAATGACGAGTTGATGGGTGCTGACGAGTTGATGGGTGCAGCACACCAATATGGCACAAGTATACATATGTAACAAACCTGCACGTTATGCACATGTACCCTAGAACTTAAAGTATAATCATAATAATTAATAAATTAATTAATTTTAAAAAAAGAAAAGAAAAGAAATATGCACCTGTACCCATTAAATATATTTTTTTTAAATTGTTTTAATTTTTAAAGACTATAAACCCCCCAGGCTCCCTGATTAAATAATGGTCTTTCCAAACAAGCCTTTTTCATTTCAGCCTCTCCAATTCATCCCAACATTTCTCTACTTACTCGTGATTAAATTTCTCCCAGGAAGACACAAAAATAAATGAAAGACAAAAGAAAGTATGTTATCTACTACCCCACCAGACCCTTCCTTAAAGTATTTAAGGCATTCCTTATATAAAGCAACTTTTAGGCTGGGCATGATGGCTCAGGCCTGTAATCCCAGCACTTTAGGAGGCCAAGGTGGGAGGATCACTTAAGGCCAAGAGCTAAAGACCAGCGTGGTCAACATAGCAAGACCCTGTCTCTACAAAAAACTTTAAAAAGTTAGCCACATACAGTGACGCACACCTGTAGTCCCAGCTACTCAGAAGGCTGAGGAAGAAAGGACTGCTTGAGCCCGGGAGTTCAATGCTGCAGCGAGCTATGATCACACCACTACACTCCAGCTTGGGCAACAAGTAAGACCACTTTTTTTTTTTTTTTTGAAACAGTCTCCCTCTGTCGTTCAAGCCATTCTCGTGCCTCAGCCTCCCAAGTAGCTGGGACTACAGGTGCATGCCACCACATCTGGCTAATTTTTTTTAATATTTTTTTTAGTACAGATGGGGTTTCACCATTTTGGCCAGGCTGGTCTTGAACTCCTGACCTCAGGTGATCCACCCACCTCGGCCTCCCAGAGTGTTGTGATTATAGGTGTGAGCCACCACACCCAGCCTCGGCCTCCCAAAGTGCTGTGATTACAGGCATGAGCCACTGTGCCCAGTCTTTTTTTTTTTTTCTTTGAGACAGGATCTTGCTCTGTTGCTCAGATTCAGACCGGAGTGCAGTGGTGAGATCATAGTTCACTGCAGCCTCTATTACCCAGGCTCAGGTGATACCCCCTATCTCAGCCTCCCAAGTAGCTGGGACTACAGGTGTCCACTACCATGCTCAGCTAATTTCTTTCTATTTTTCAGTAGAGGCAAGGTCTCATCATGTTGCCCAAGCTGGTCTCAAACCCCTGAGCTCAAGTGATCCTCCCACCTTGGTTTCCCAAAGTGCTAGAATTAAAGGAGTGAGCTATCACACCTGACAGAGACCCATCTCTTTTAAAAGAAAAAAAGAAAAAAAAGACAGACAAAAGAGTTCTTACCTAATAAGTGCAGCTGGAACCACGCGACTCTTGTTACTACATCCTTTAAGGCTACCACAGAGAGTAACAAAATTCAGTGTGTTTATAAATAATACCTGAGTTGCCTAGAAAGGAAAAAAAGACAAGAAAACTATTAAAATTATTTTACTGTAACCATTACTTATAATTCTGGCGACATAGAGATCTATTACTATATTAATAAACTATCTAGGGAGAATTTCTCAACTGGCAAGGCAATATTGACCCCTGGTAGCCTTTGCTTTTTTATGTTCCACCTTAAGAACATTAGTTACCGCAGTGCTCTTCTTTCTTCTTTTTCCCTTATTCTTTTTTCATTTCTGAGAGCCAAGTTTTGAGAGTTACGGCATCTAATTTAAAGAACTTTACCAATCCACAACGTCAAGTTGGATTAAACACCACCAACTTAAAGAATATAAAGTAGGCTGGGCACAATGGCTCACACCTGTAATCCCAGCACTTTGGGAGGCTGAGATGGGAGAATTGTTC